TAATAAAAAGATTAGACTCTCTCTCGATGTTTCCCATTAGGCACATTCATCAGATAATGAACAGGCTACCTAAGGAAGAAGATTCATTACTCCTGCCACGTAAAGCAAAACTAGGCAAAACTTCAGAAGACATATTGCCCAGAAAAATCATTGGTACTTTGCATGACCCAGCAAAAAGACGCTTATCATACAGGTAATGATATCACCTAAGTATAACCTGAATTACAGCAACCAAAAAGTCCTTCCCATAGGAGCCCCAATTAAACCACAACCTGTGGTACACACAGCCATAACCTAATGGTGTGCAGAAGACTGACACATGCATTGCAGTAACCTAGTTATGAGAATCTTAACTCTGACAACAACTTGTAAAATAATTTTTACAATTGCTTTTTGGCACAATAAACAAGTGTTTAGCAAACAAATTTTCAAAGCAGCTTTTAAAAGGGTAACAGGAAGGTCAGGCTCTTCTCCATATTTATCATTTTGTTTGTTTCTAATTACTTCCATGAAGTAGAAAGCCACAGGAGTATGAAACGAACTTACTGAAAAAGTTCCATCACAGCAATAAAAGCAGATTAAATTCTGTACAGTATGTTATGAGCAATATTCTTAAGACTACTTAGGCAGCAAAACTGTAATTTCCCCCTCTACGGCCTATAACTAAAATGAGTAAGAAACTAAGAAACAGAAATCAGAAGAAAAAAAAAAAAGAAAAACTAAGGTTCAAATGAGACAAAAGCAATGTTCTTCGGGATCAAGGAAACCAAAGTGGTGGCAGTAGAACCTAGAGCTGTAATCCACTCACATAAAAACAGTGAAAAATCAGACAGAAGATGAAAATACTAGAGTTCAAGAGGCCACAGATAACAGTAGTATCACAAGGGCAACACATTGTTTAATCACCGTGAAATTCCAGATGACAGCACTCAAGGACAGAGAAGGAAGGAGGCCTCATTGACTGAAAAAGAAAATGTGAAGAGCACAGGCAAAAAAATATAAGAGTCAGGCTCTCTTAGTAGCAAAAAACTTCAGTGAAAATGGAAAACCAAACCAAAGATATTCCAGGGTTTGCTCAAACAAAATTGCAATGACCAAAGAATCAATTCTTAATGGTGTATTTAAATTACTAATATTATTCAATAAAGACTATTACAGTTTAGAACTCTGCATACCCTGACAATTTCATCTGCCTTGATGTTTTAGCAAGGAAGACCAATATGACTGCAAAAGTTACAAAACACTTCACCTCAGTATACACAAATACTTCTCGCAGAAAGGATAATTAACTTTACTCAGCAGATACAGCTGTCCAGTTAGCAATAAAGGACAGCTCTGCATACCTTTTAGAATTAAGTTTTGTCCTTGGAATACAGATTCAACCTCTTAGAGGATATTACAGACAGTCTTCTTGGAGTTAAAACTCCTATTAAGAGCTTTGAAAAATTCAAACAAAGCAAAGCACTGAGCTTAACATAGCAGCATTGAGTGCTGGATGAACTAATAAAAAAAATACAGCTGTCTCAGATTTTAATTGACAGTCTAGCAAGAGTAGGCTCAAGTTTTCCAACCATTCTGGCCGTGTAAACACAAAATTTATGGTTTCCCTTATGAAGAAAATAAAGTAAAAATGTGTCTCTGAAAGCACCATTTAAAAATTTCTGAAGTGTGATGGAAGACAACTAGTATGACAAGCTAATTTATCTCCAATGCTGACATAATACTTTCTCCAGTATAAAACTGTGGGTATCTCCAAGGTCTCCAAGGCTCCTGGCTTCAGCTGAGTAACTATTCAGTACATAACATTCCAGCAGCATAAAAAAATACATGCAAGAGTAAGATAAACATGACATCTGAAAAAAACCCTACTAAATAGCTAACTGGATCTCAAGAAAATGTATTTAAATTATCAACAAACCATTCTTAACTCACAGGATGTTTGATCTTATTGAAGCTATCAAAATAATTATTTTACGCTACAGGTAGTCAGCCATTGCATTGCCTGCAAGTACACTTTCCCCTTTTGCAAAAAACAGAGAACTTCCTGGTCTTTTGGAAAACAGGACTGTGACTATGCAGTTATACTTCTCTAAAGTAGCATACCAACAGTGTTCAACACACTAGGATTCATATTAGGATATTTGTGCAGTGGCAGCGGTTATGATTGATGGTATGTAAAGATCTGATCTGTTGCAAAGAGGATGTAACACAAACCACAAAGGAACTACACACTTCAGCCTGTATTGGGCACCACATAATGAAGACCATACACTGGAGATCTGAACATTTTCAGACAATCTTTATATTCTGGCAGATTTTGCAACCTTCCTTTGCAGAAATATTCTGCCCTTGAAAGATAACATAACTAGCAACAGCCTACAACAAAGTATCTACAAATTTCTGGTCGCACACCATGGCTGTCTTCCCCTGCCATCATTACAGATCTAAACACAAAGTTATTAAAGCTTTCTTGAATCTGCTCACATCACTATTTAATCCACATGCTGCGAGACCGAACAATGCACAGCATTTTCAAACACGTAATGCTGAAATGCAGAGAATTATTATTACTTGAATTCTCTGCTATTATTAGGTACCTCTGGAAAAGATACACTTATTTACACCACTTTCAGTTGGTCATGTTAAAATATATAGCATAGTTAAATTGTGTGGTTTGGGTTTTATGAAGGTGGAGAAGAGCACTAACACTATAGTAGTTTTGTTTGAATTGCTTATGTGATATTCAAAATATAAGAACTGAGGAAGGGAGGGAAAGAGAAAAAGCAGATTTCTCAATACTGAAGTTTAATGTATAGTCCATAATCATATTTCTAGGTACTTTAGTGGGGCTACAGTCATTTAGTATGTTATCATAGGCTTGCATATGGGCATTTTCATGTACTAAATCTCCTTTACACATCAGAAACAATTCTAGCCTCTACTTAAAAACAAAGACTTAAAGCTCTCAGAATGTATTAATAGGGCCCTGTATGGTAATAAATGGGAGCGTTACTACAGTCCCACTGGAGCAATGTCATCCAATGTTCTTTTCACTGCATCTTCATCGTAGCCATCAAACAAGTCTCAAGTAGAATGTACTACACATTGCGGGACACATCAAGATTCAACAGGTCGAGTCTGCTACACATCATCACAGTTTTTTAAAAATAAAAGTTTAAATAAGGTCAAAAAAAAAAATCTACCTGGCTTCATACAATATGAAAATTACTTACTGAAAATTCTGAATAAATGCACAGCCACATCTTTTTTTCTTTGTTTCTTAAAATAATTGCTAGCTAGGACTTGACATTTTTATCTTTTGGAAGAGAATGATTAGTAAGGCTCTTGAGCCATGATTTCCTACTTTTAGAATAGATAAAATAGTCATAGTTGACTGATACATAAGCTTAGCTCCTTCTTGTGAAGACATGAGCAAACTTCCAGACCAACTTCTGGGAATGACAACTTTCCTTATAGGTGCCAAATGGAAGCTTTAAAGTACTTCTAATGATAAGAAGTTTAATTGTGTTGATTTCTGTTCATAAATAAGAAGGGCTTCCAGTCCACTACATAATGACAAGCAAAACTACTACATAAGAAATACAACATTCTTAATATCTAAATTGTCTGGGAGAGCTATAGCATGAATCTGATGCAGCCTAAAGGGATACTATCAAAGCAGTAAGTGTTTTAGATGTTTAACATTTCTGTTGACACTAAGCATTACTCCTCCAGTCAGCATGTTTTCACAGACTCACAGGACAGCTGATGTTGGACAGGACCTCTGGAGACTGCCTAGTTCAATCCCTCAGCTCACATCAGGGTCAACAAGAGCAGACTGCTAAGGTCCAGTTGGGTTCTGAGTACCTCCACGGATGGATATATAGAAGCTACACAAGCTCTGAGCACAACCTATTCCACTGTCTGACCACACCTGCAAAAAAGGCTTTTTATTACATTTAAATGGAATTTTCTCTATTTCAGTTTGTGACAATTTCCCTTCAGTGAGCACCACTAAGACGAGCCTGGCTCCATCATCTTCATTCCTCCCCATCAGGTATTTATACACATTGATAAGTTTTGCCCTGAGCCTTCTTGATAAGTCTCAACTCTCTTGGCCTCTCCTTCTACAACAGATGCTCCAGTCCCTCAATCGTCTTTGTCATCTTCTGCTGGACTTATTCCAATATGCCCATGCCTTTCTGGTACTAGGTAGACCAGAACTGGACATGGTACTCCAGCTGTGGTTTCACCAGTGCTGCCCTAAATCTAAAGTTGTCAAGATTTAAATTTTACTTTATCTGAAATTCTTCATGCTCTCTCATATTTCGGTTGTTAGAGAAAAAACAACACAACTTTACAATTTTTCAGCAAGAGTTTAGATATCTGATTTTTACATTTTAAAAACATATAAAAGTAAATTTGACTCTAATTCTTTGAAACAAAACACAGACTAATTGGCATGGCACCAAATGAGCTAGCTATCTACAGATCTTCCGAGGTTAAGAAGGATTTAACCATACTACTAAACCAGAAAAAACAAAGTCACATCTCTCTAATCTGGTCAATTATACCAGTTATTGTTTAGAGATACCTAATAAAATAACAGAATGACTTATTTTATTGGAGCTTAATAAAGAATTCTTCCTAAAAGAGAAAGAAACAACACAAAGCATATACAAATCAAAAGCGAGTGTAAAAATGGTCACAAGATTGTCTTACTCATAACATTTTATTAGAAATACTGGAGGTGGGGGCTTGTGACTTTTGGCTTTTAGGATATATGTTTTCAAATTTGTAATATCAAGGAATGCTGTAAGCTTATCTTCAAAATTAAGATATTCTTACAGTTGTGTGTTCCCAGAGCTGAAGCTTTAAGAAAAAATAACAAACACAGGTATCTCAAAACTCATAAAATTAGACAGACACACTGGAAAGCTAAAGCGATATACAACACTGAAAGAAAGGCCAAGATGCAATAGCAATGGTTTTTAACTTACATTTGAGTGTTTCTCCAGCATATGGGATATGTAGCTTAAACCGATCACAGCTAGGTCCAGGGGTCAAGGATGTGCAGCTAAAAATGAAGATAAGAGAAGAATGTGCTAAGCCGTTACAGATGGTAGCAGACGCTAACATTATTCTACAGAGTACAAACGACTGACATAATAAAGATGTTGTGAATACTAGAAATGTTCATCCTTACAATTCTGGGAAAGAGGAAAAGGTGGGAAAGATGCAGGAGGCCCATTCTCTTTTGATCAGCAGTTCTCACAACAGCATAAGAAACTTTAGGTTCTGTGCCAACTACCTTCTTTCCCATTTTAACACAGAAAATATACACATAAAATGCCCTGGTTTGAATGTGTTATTAGAATAATATCAATTAGTCAGTCAAAGCTATTAAATTCTCTTATTTTGTATACAATTTTGCAGGTCACAACTCTCTACCTATGCCACAATAACATAGTTACATACTCCCTATCCCTGCCATCCAGATACCTGGGATGAATCTTAGTTTTAATACATCAACATTCAGTCATTTTTACAAGTTTCAACCTATAATCTTTCCCCTGTGGAAAAACCTCACATTAAACCTCCAGGTGAGCAAGTGTCAGAATCAGATATTTGAGGCTATGACAACTGAGCATGTATATTCATGATCTGTGACTATTTCTTATCTCCTGTTTATCTGGAACACCATAACAGCAGTTTGGGTCTCAGGGTGATGAACGAGCTTTTATGAACACAAAAGTCACTGAAAAACTGTTCAGTGTCTAGGCCAGAGATGACCAACTTTTTCCCATCTTTTATGTCATGTACCAAAATCTTTGCATAACTAAGAACCAAAAATCTCAGCTGCAAAAGAAGAAACAGTGACACAAATTGTTTCACTGGCAGGAACGGTCCCTGCAGCTCACAACTGTGGGCTGGCGGGCATATGACAGGTCTCTGTAGAAAAAATACTGGAAGCCCTTAGCAGTTCATTGCTTTCCATATCTAAGGATCCTGATAACCCAGAAGTCTTCTTGCCAGACTAATATAATTAAGAATTGTTTATAGCCCCAGGACAAGAGCTACACTTGTTGCAAGCCACTTCAAGCTCAAAGCTAGACTGGCCAACTCTAGACAAAACATTGAAAATAAGGTAGACAAAGGTAAAAATAACTTACCTAAGCTCATGTATCAGATCACTGGTAGAGCTCTAATACAAACCATTGGCAATATAATGAAACAAAAGTCATTTACTGGGTCATACACACAGTCAAAAGCAAAAAGATGGAAGGCCACAAAATACAAAAATTCTAATCCTACCTTAGCAGAAACAACACAGTAAGTCCTGCGGTTGTCTTATCATGGAACAAGCATCAGGACAAACAGGGCAATGTTAATTCTCACTAAGACACTAAAAATGCTTCAGAAAGCCATTTGTCTCAGATGCTGACTCTACAGTCTCTTTGCTCTTTACACTTGCAAGTTAAGGAAACCACGTGCGTTAACTTCAGATTGTTTTTATTCAGTGAGCTACATTTACTATTTAATCAAATTTGTGCCCACATGTATCTTCATCAAAAAGAAGCAACCACAGAACTACAAATCAATTAAGTTTCCACAAAAATACTAGAAAACGCAAGCAGACCACTTGTGTGCACCTAGAATCTAACACAGATGCAATTAACAGCCTACATGGATTCAGCAAGAATACACTATGTTTTTTCAGTATCATTACAGAAAATCAGTAACTGTCCTTGCAAATAAAATGGAAGCAACAGATGTCCTATCTTAATTTTAGAAAGGTTTTTGTAATGTTGTGTGAGAGCACCATGCAAAACAATCTACAGAAACTTAACTTAGATGCAGCTATTATCAGATGTGTGCAGAGCTGACTAGAAAGCAAGTTTCAAAAAGGATTAGTTCACAACTTGCTTAATCCACGAAGGAAGCACTGAGCGGCTTTTCTTCCAGTAGAATACTATTTCGTATTTCATTGAAAGACTAATGATGGAAAAGAGATGACGTTTATTAAACCTGTTGATGATGCCAACACGAAAGGGAACGCAGCGTGCTGGACAACAGGACCAGAGTTGAAAAAAATCTTTGATTTAATGGACTGTACCACTTTTTGAATTACATCTGGATATGGTTTGGCAAGACCAGCAGGCATCACCACCCTCACTGGGAGTAAAATCAGCTTGAGAATATGAAAGATTGGAGCTCTACTGCAACAGAAACAAGATAATATAATTTTTTCAAAGATGCCATTCTTTTAGTAGGTAAGAACAGCAAAATAGGAGTGCCCATTGTTAGGGTGTTTTAATGGCTGTGGATGAATTTAACAGCTCTAGATATGAAAGTATTATTATCTGTTTTCAAGTCATTTCTAAGGCTTACATCACGTAAGGCCGATTCTAGGAAGCATAGAAAAACAAAAAAGCAACACAAAAAAAATGCTTTGCAACTTCCAAAATTTCTCTGCAACATCAGTTAATACTTAATGGCAGTTTCTTTCAAAGTATCACAGGTCACAGTCTGAGGCACATTTTTCAAATGCCATCAAAATAACATTGTTGCTAGTTTTTCAACAGACAGAAAAATTTCTGATCCTGCAAATACCCTACACAATCTTTTCTTTTAGCACAATGGGCCATTTGAAAATACTTAGGGAAAGTAAAATATTCTTTAACATTAAAATAAAAGCCTGGATTAATGATAAAGGCCCCTAAAAGCAATATTAAGTACTTTTCCTAGATTATTATATTTCACAAGAGATGTTTTTTAATTTTACTGGTCTAGAAGTGATGGAAAGTGACAATATTCAGAGCCTTTTTATTTTTCTGGCCAAATTACTCTGGCTAGTCTGCACAAGAGGCTTCAATAACTGCAATAGGCTAAGCAACCAAGCAAAAATCTTACATACATCCATTTAAAAGGACACAGTTACTTTTCACTATAAACAGTAGAACAAAACTCCTGTGGTAAATCAAAACTTTGGTCCATCTAGAGGTCTATGTGTGACCTTATTCAGCAGAGTGTCACAGATAACGGCCTGGCTATGGACATCATCTCCTCCTTGAATTTCATTAAAACACAGAACCTCTCTCTCATAATTACAAACATGCCCCACCCAGAATCTTGGCCTCCATCTTCTCCAAAATGTAAGATTTTATATGTGATGATCCTTTTACTCAACATGGTCCACACAAAAGCCACACTGAAAAGGAGTAACTTGTAACAAGGCCTTTTAAAGATTATTTGTTGTCCTGTCTTCATAGGGAACTGGTGTTGAAGAAGCTGACTCCATCTCATGACGAATGGATGTGCTACCTGCTTCTTCATTAATGGAAAAATATTACACTGGTTTGCATCTTCATCTAAATAGTCAATATTTTACACAGGAAAGTCATGGAAGCAAGAATTAATGCTCTGATGCTCAGAGCAGTGATATGAATTAGTCTTCATAAGATGATTAATGCTATACCACAAGATCTCCCATATGGTTTCCCTACTAAAATATCAAAGAATCATCAACTTGACAAGTTTCCGGGATAAAGGAATATCCTTGAATGTATCACTTAAAATTATGCTGCCCTATTCAAAGTAGCTGTGCTGAGACCTAGAGTTGGAATCTGGTAAACAGAATCAAGTATGCAAGAAACCATAGCTGAATACAAACTCTTCTATTTCTCAGCAGATTTTAGCTAAATTCCTTGAGCAAATGCAGCAGATTAAACTTGAATTGAGATACTTTACAACCTTGAGAAATATGTATTCCAAGTAGCAGACAAGTAGGCCATTAAGTTGTTGAGTGTTTGATGCATCTTGCAGTTGGAATTGTCTGTGACCTGTTGGGAAAAGGTTTCTTTCACAGTAAATAAAACATACATAAACTAAACCAGTTCTTATTCAAAGAAAAAGTCCCTGTCAGCACCAGATGCTTAACTGGAAGTGTTCAAAATTCTTTACCAGCCACAAAAGGAAAGATTATCCAAGAGAAAAAAGAGCAAAGAAAAAAAACATGATCTGGAAAGTCACTCAGTTTTGCTGCTTGGAATAATGTATCAGCCTATAATGATAGATATAGTAGAAACATTTTTCTGCAAAATTAATCCTTCTTCCCAGAGTTTCTAAAAGTCTCTAGAAAGGCAGTCCTAGTTGAGCTTAACATCGAGGTTTTCTCTTATACCAATGTATTTGTTATTAACTATTCTGTTTAATTGACTCTTCTTCTGTTTTAAGTTAAAAAAAAAAAAAAATCCTTTCCTTCTGATCCACTTTGATATTTTATAGGATTGAAGCCATGATGATAAGGAGAACTGTGATAGCCCTAGGTTTCAACATGTTCATCCTATCAACTAGTCTTCTACAACCACCACTTGAAAGTATTCCTAAGACAAGCAGTTTTAAATTATTTGGGCTCTGGGAAGATTTTATCCAAAAATAAGTTCTGTTCCAGCTGAAAGGGTCACAACAAAACAAGAGCCCAAGATGAGTCATTATTCTATCCAAAGAATTTAAAACAAAACAAAACAAAACCACCAACACCCCCTCCCCCAAACCCACCTCTTTATATCCCAAGCTTCCAGTCTGAGGCTCATTTTTTATACCACTCCTAAAAATCTGCTGCTTCAAATCATGTAAATCCATAGCAAACACCCAGCAATGCTAACAGAAATACAATAGCTCTACTGAAAAATATACAATCTCCTTTTTATTTCTTCTTTTTATTTATTTTGTGGTAAAGATATATGCCCCAATATTCGTATCAGATTTGTTTGATCAAATTTCCTGATTAAAAAAACGTATGTGATGTGTTTAGTTATTTTACCTTCTTAGATCATACAGAAGCTTTAGCATCTTTACTATCTGAAGACATCATCGATGAACTATACTGTACAATAGCAAAGAAAAATTAGACTAAGAATTTTAGCCTCTATAATTTCAGGAAATTAATGTTGAGACTGTCTAACCCGAACAGACAGAGATGCAAAAGCTTCTTTAAGTTCACGGTGCTTAGGCTGCTACACTTGCTGTTCTCGAGGATCAGTACTTTTTGGATAATGGACAACTTTTTTCGTT